ACCGACGTTTTAGACATGCTTACTGCCTCCATTGTCAAGATCATAAGTTGATTTGACAAGAATGAATTGTACGTAAATGTACCTGGCTCCTCGTATCTCGGCTTGAGGAGTATTCATCTTGACATTTTCAGCCGTTTTCCTTAATCCCTAAACGGCATGTTGCGTCTTTAATATATCATATCATGTTGTGTTCTCAGTTTCTGAACAGTCACTCTCTTGACGCTCTGTTACCTCTCTAGTTATGCAACGTCCATATAGCAATCAGTTGAGATGTTCAAGACCGAATATTTCTTGCAGCAAAGTTGTCAGTCCATGGTTTTTGCTGTTCAGTGGTTGGCACTCCCTCAATTTTGTGGTACCCGTATTTGAATCTCGGCGCTGAGGCCGACTAAACGTGCTGAAATTTTTCTCATCCGAACTTTTATTACATTTTTCTCTCCATGAAAATTCCTTAAGACCTCAAAATATGCCATGATTATTGCTTCTTTCCATGTTTCTCAGTTCATTATTCACGTTATAGACATGCATATTTGGCTGTTTATAAGCGTTGTAAAATAATTCAAGTCAATTCGGAAGTTGTCTGCTCACTATCTCCTAGTTCTGGGCGATGAACTTTGACTTATCTCTGAAGTTCGACTTTAAATCTTGGCCGTCCTTAGTGGCGCCTTGCAAATTGTTGAAGAGTAAACAGATTTACGCCCTTCCACTCGTATTAGGTCCAAGCTGTTGACTGGCAAACCCCAAGCCAGCCACAGGAGAGGGCGTCCCTGCTAATTAAATGGAAGCTAAAGAAAGAAAGGAGGCTGGGTGCATGGAGCAGTAAGAGAAGGGTGTGTCTGTTTCATCCTTCACCACCATCTACAGTCAGTTTCACAATTGTTTGCAACATTCCATGCAAATATATAATGGGAAATTTTACTCACCATTATGATATATCAAAGCGGGTTAGTCTACAGTGTAGAGTTGGTTCTTGTTAGTACACAGTGTTTATTCCTGCCGTACTTTACGCCATGTTTCATACTTTTTGCAGAAGAATGGAACACAAACTTATCCTTCTAAACCTTTGACTACACGCCATTCGCGATCATCGACATCTCATCGTCGTAAAACATGAACCAGTTAGTACATGTAGCACCTATGGGAAAATGTATAGTAAAATATAAATAATATGATCTTTTTAATGATTCTGTAAATGTCTGTGACAATGGTTCATTTACCACAGAAACAGCATGTTGGTCAGTGTCAGTTGTCTGAGGTATGACATACATGAGGTTTCGGGAAATTACTATACTTTATTCTTCAGGTGGTTGGTTAACATTTGGTAAGGATTTGGAGTTGAAGGTACACTGAGGGCATATGGCTAATCCCGTATTCAATTACCCGAAGAAGGGAGTAGAGTCAACTCCCGAAACGACGTGTATATCAGATAATTGATAGTGATCAACACAGTATTCCTATAATGAGGATGTTAAGTAGATCATAATGGAATAGGATGTGAGTGTGTAGGCTTGATTCAACTGACTGAGGATGGATTCCAGTGACGGGATCTTGTGTGTATGGTAATTAATCTTCAGTTCAATAAGATCGGGTAAATTTTTGACAAGATGACTGAGCAACTAGCTCGTAATAAGTGTGCATCGTGGAAGAAGAAACCAGTTAACCTCCAGATACACCAGTATGTCTTACCCGTACTCCAGTTGACATATGGATTGTATTCTGATTTTCTTGAATGTTAAATTAGCCATTTAAAATTCCATTAACAAACTCTACTAAGTTAAAAAGGTGATTTAGTATGTTCTCTCGTAAGACATTTTAAAATGTTTTGTCTCCTGCAGTCCTTTCGTGGCGTCGAGTGAAGTGTAGGGGTTATTATAGAGGATGGATGTAGGGGGCCTGAGAGAAGGTAGTAATGTCGGGTCTTAAAGTAATGTCGTAGAATTCGCTTGGAAATGGCGAGAAAAGTAAGGAGAGATTTTATTCAGAAGCCCACGTGTCATTCTGTTAGTTTCATCATTCATCTCATTTGTCTTTGCCAGTTTTGTTTTGTTTTTTTGTAAATCGTGTTAGTTACAACATTACTTATTTTTAGCGAAGATGCCAAGATATTTCCCTTTATTTTTGGTAACATCAAACGATCGCATACGAAAATTTGACACATCTCCTTTAAAGGATTCATTTTATGGGAAGAGTATTTGTACTGTGTAGACAAAGTTAAAATTATGCTCTTCAGTTCAATATAATCTGTTCCCTCGTGTCATTTTCAGTTCCCAGGGAGACCAATTTGTTTCAGTGGCAGGCCTACTAATTTAAGGCTCCATAGCATCGACTTAGTTTACTTTTTCCTCGCTTTTTTTTATAATTTCTTTATTTTATGATTTCTGTCTTTCTCTCCGGTAATGGGCCGATTAAAAACTTCTGAATTCAAGGTATGATATGTTATTGTTTTAATAATGTTCTAAGCATGCCGAAAAAGGTATTTATCTTAAATTATTAGTGTATTTGAATGTGTTCTTAAATTTATCAAATATAATAGTGTATTATGTAGCACACGGAATATACAAGAAATTCGAGACATTTTGTTGGAAATAATTTAGAAAAAGGTCAGTCTGGAAGCCAATGTCAAAGGCTGATATTAGAATAGATTTTAAGTAAATTTAATTTTAGAATTATAAATTTCTTTTATTCACCAAGAGAATAGCTCAAATTCCAGCATTTGTAATTAACACAATGTATGTCTGTGTTCAATGCCAGTAGGTCACTATTTTATCGGCTGTATAATTAAAAACATGTCGAAATACTGTAACTTTATTTCTTTGTGAAGTAGCTTCTTTATTTCGTTTGTTGATAGGTTTTAATTTAACTAAGTACTTTAACAATGTAGGATTTACCGTTGTAAAATATGTTTTCTGTGAACTGTATAATGTCAAGTCGACTATGTGTTTTAGGAAACTATGTCATTATACAAACATTAATGAAGATTTGCATATATTCCAGTTTATATTCTTTATTCCCTGAGAGTCCCTTTACGGTTAATTATTTCAGTAAATGTTTTCCACCAAGTTTGTAGGGCGAATGATGCACTAGCTGTGCTAGAGAGTTTAACTCTACTTTCGAGCAGGTATGATGCAATAATGATGAGATTTTATGGAAGTTTTGTTAAAAATTTGTTGTCGTGTCCATAACTTTTGATTTTCAAACCCCCAGATTATGTAAAATAGAGGGGAGTATACTTTTTGCAGTTTATTGGAGCAGGAACATGGGAACATGTGTGGTTAGTATCGAGGCGTCAAACACCAATCTGCTCACCTGGTTTGCAATTTGTATGATAATTTACAGGAGTTATTGCAAACATCACCAGATTGGCGGTACAGTATGGGTAGTAGGGGCAGGGGCATACGCCTAGCCGTCCCCCATAAAGCAGAGCACTTATTTTCCTCTTGCGTTTTCCCACAGTAATGTTACTTTATACTTATGCAGGTGTTAACAGTTCAGAACCAGTGTTGTCAGGTCTATATACACGCTACTTAGCGATTCAGTGGTTCGAAATCCTGACACATATTCTGAACGTACCACATTCTATACCCGCCAGTTAGTTTACGATGTCGGGAAGGTTACGTTAAGAGTGATGCGTCCCGGAAAGTAGTGCGCTGTTAGAGTCTCAGCTTATGCATCAGATATTGTGGTTGAATATTCGTGATTTTCTTTATCCGTCTGAATTGCATTGTGCGCTATGAAAGCTTGTCGCAGTTTTGAGATTCACACGGCGGTGACTACGAAGATGACAACCATCTTTGATACCGATTGCATAATCACCATCTCATATCGTTAGATAGACTGCCCTCTATAATTGATATAGCGCCAAAAAATAACTGTCAAATTAAATAAATGAACAGGTATACAAATACATTTGTCTATTGGCATCACCATTTAATATCTGATGAAAAATTAAGTGTACAATTTATTAAATGTTATAACATAATTTACACACGAAACATCTTTGTCATTACAATTTGCATATTTATTATCTTGTTATCACCGTAATAAAATGAGATAAAAGTGGTGAAACTCTTGCTTCATATTCGGGATGTCCCTGGTGCTGTTATAAGTCGGAATATTGTTATCCTGATTAAGAATTTTATGGTTTTTCGAATAATTCAATCCAGTTTTGGAACGCTGACTTCAGAGTAATCACTATTATTTTCTACCACTTAATTATCAGTTTGTCATTCGTAATAAATCCGTCATCTTATACTATATAGCATGTAGCTGATAATGTATATTTAAATAAATGATCATGTATGTGATGTTTTCTTAAAATTGAAATCGAGAATAATAACTCTATACATCTTTTCAAGTAAACATAGCTTTATTGTAATAAAGCAGAGAGTAAAACCTGTGTGGTCTGGTTTGTTTGTAATGTACAATGTCTCCCCTCCAGGGACAAACCTTCCGGCTCAATGCAACAGCCAGTAGAGAAATCCGTCAGACTGACAAATACGGTTCCAGTTAGCCGCCCGAGTTATACTGCACAATTTCCAATCTACTGCCGTATAACCGCAGGCATTATTCCTGCAACCACCACGTAGGATACTATTTTGTATTGGCAATTTAAATAAATTTCGTTTCATTTTATTTGAATACCTGTAGGGAATTTCACAATTTTGCCGAATTGTTTGACAATAAAACATTTATTTGACTCAATTAAAAATATTACAGCTGTTTTAAAACAAAACTTTTCTGTACATATTAGGACCTAAACTGGATGTAGCATACATTTTAGGGCAGTAGATAACCAGTTGTTCCCGTTTATTAAACTTATGACTACTTGAAGACGACTGGTTATCTATACAAACTCTTGTTGTTTTATAGTTGGGGGCTGGTGCTGCTACGTAGTGTAATGTAGGAGGTTGGACACGTACAGGTTCCCCATTTAACCGTACGCCCACGTCTGAGCAGTCTCTCTGTCACTCGATGTTTACTGGTATATTTCGATACGCTTGCCTCTTTAGCATGATTAGTTGCACTTGAGAAACGTGATAATACGGTTCGCAGTTTGTGAAATTGAGTGTTCAGAAATGAAGTATAGTGTTAAACAGAAATTATTCGTATACGTTACATTTTTACAGTGTTCTTCATGCCGTAGAAAATTTCGTAGGATGTATTCTGATAGTACAGTACCACGGTTTACAAAATTGTAACAAAATTACGTTTCACGGAATCTGTGCTGGGCAAAAATAAATCTCGAAGTGGTTACGTAAACAACTAAAATTACAGATGCTGGGGTATAGAAAGTCCTTATGCTGTTCATGAAATGTCATTGCATTATTTAAAAGTTTTGGTTTGGTGAACGGAAGTTAATTGGGCCTGTGGCTTTTTTTACGAAACTATTAATTCCGAACGTTATGTGAAATTTATTCTCTCGTTCTTCTTCGTCAACTGACTACTGAAGAAAAATATTACGGGCATTTTATGCGAGATAATGCAACAGCACACACTGCTATCTGTTCTGTGGTTGCATTGCATGAAGTCTTCGGCAAATGAGTTATAAGTCGAGGATTGTGGCCTTCGCGATCACCCAACTTTAATCTTTGTGACCTTTATGTGCGGGACACGGCAAAAAAAGAGGGAGTATTTGAACAATCCGCACACTTTTGAAGAACTTGCGTGAAATTTCCGCTTTTCTCATACAGAAACTGCGACGTGTGTCTCGAAACATCTTCTCATGATGGGAGGCATGTTTAGAAGCAGCAGGTCGTCACTTTGAGACTCGTCTGTAAAATAAGGTAAGTTGAACTGCAGCGGAAAAGAAGGCCACTACGGATCTGAGCGAGACGCGTCCTGTGTCAGCTGCCGGAAGCACTCTAACGATTAATGAAATAACCTGTAGCCCCAATAACACAGGAAGAGAAATGCATAAAATATATCGTAGAGAAAATCCCTTGAAAACCAGTCATTTGGAAGACCGAGAAAAATGTGGGAGGACAATATTAAAATGGATCCTGGACAAATATGTGACAGGAAAGTGGGTAAAAGGAGCTGACTGAGGATCAAGTCCTCACGCGGGCTATGTATTCAACTCTCTTGATCGTTTAAAATTTATTAGTTCAAAATTCTCAGCCGAATCCGGTAGCCAAGCTTTTAATGATTAATATGGTTTAACCTTTTTTTATGGATTGTAACGAGTATCGGTGATCCAGGTCTTTATTGGGTCAGCAGTGCAGGATAATGCGTCATTTAACCCAATTTTAAGGATCTGACAAACATTCTGTTTGAGAGATATAAGACATTTTCTTCTAATATAAATCAGTGGCTAACATTTCTTATTTATTTTTTGTTTACATAGTTCAAAAATACGAATTTATTTATTCACTACCCTTACAAAGATAAGAACGAGATATTTAATTCATTTTGGATGCTCTGCCTTCATTTCTTAGTAGAATTATACAATAACAAATGTTTTTAAATAAAATGTAAGTACGCCGCATTAACAGCAGTTTCGCTGTCTAAAAACAAAACTCTTGAAACAAAAGTTTGATCTCGCCCCAGAGCTACTATACAAAAATTTCTAATGCTATGTTAATGCTTCATCTTGTTTTTTTTCTTTTTTCTGGGTACTTAGAAGAAGAAGAAGGCAAAATTATAGATTTTGTGTTCCTGATAAATATGTAAAAACCAGACAAGTGTCTTAATTTGTTGACATTGTGTAAACTAATAGTGACCCACAAAGTTCCTGGTATTTTAAATGGAAAGGACGAAGCTGGAATAACCAGACCCCTATCATTTAACTGTACTAAGTCACTCGAATACATTAAACGGGTGCACATTCTCGGACGTTTTACGTTGTATGTTACTTTAAAACCATTCACCATTTTAGAAACTTTTTTCTCTTCCGTCGTCAGGTAAAGTTGTACAATCTAACCAGTCTGGTCTGTTGGAGAATGATAACTTAATTCTCAGTCCGGCTTACATAACTGATCAGGCTGTGTTTTTTCTCCTGATGACGGAACCGGAGCGAGCTTCCGGAACGTTGCTCGTCTTTCAAGCTAATAGACGAAGGAAAACCACGAGCCTTAAAAACGGATTTCTTGACAGCTGATTATCATTCAGTTTCATAAGAAAAGATTACACCGTGGAGATAGTGTGGTCAGTTATGACAGCAAGCCTGTATGAAATAAATAAAATTTTAACTCTTATAGTATCGTAAAATAATACGTTATTTTTATAATGTCCACGTTTATTGTTGCTACTCGTAAATGGTTTATTCCTCGCAATAATTTACTTTTCAATCGGATGGCTCTTGTAATGTAGATCTAATGGTTTCTAATGGCGGTAGTGGCCCCATTGAATTAATTATGTGCATGCACAAGAAAGGATATCGAAGTGCTATGAAATTATGTACCTCTCCTAGTTTAAGCACTGAGGATGCTTTTAGGGCTAAATATTTAAATGCGCAATGAGACCACCGGTCCAATGCGATTGACTGTTACGATTAAAAAATATGTGACAGTGAATAGAATATGTTTATCGAGGTTTCAGTGTCTGTGTCAAGGGAGGACAGTCAAAACAAATGTGCGTTAGTGGATACCCGTTGTTTTATAAGGGGGGGGAATATAAAGTAGAGGCATTGGCCTAATATAGTAGGATTGTGAAATTTTGTTTGGTAGTGTCGTCGATAGGTAGCGCGCATGGATGGTACAAGAGATGTACACCGGGTATGGTTGGGAAGCCTGAAGGGAAGAGACCGCTGGGGAGACCTAGACGTAGATGGGAGGATAATGTCAGGCGGGATCTATGGGAGATAGGAGTTGAAGGAAACTGGATTTTGTTGGCCCAGGACAGGGTCCGCTGGATGGCTTTGATTAATTCGGCGATGAACCTTCGGGTTCGGTAAGCCATCTAGTTAGTTAGTTAGTTAGTTAGTGTCGTCGGTAGGTGTATGGGAATGTAATTTTTCTTCTGGTGAATGAAATATATGGTGGCCGGACGAAATTTATACTTTGCATTCACTTTAATGACAATAACTTGTGTATAATTTGTAACACGTAGGTGGCTTTATTATGTATATTTTATATACTAAAACCGTATCTAGAGATTTTAAATAAAATATTTCGATATGTTAATAATTGTAAACATTAATAGTGCTGCACTTAACAGTGACTTAGGAAAGCCATAGAAATCCGACGTCTCTAAATTTTAGTTATATTTGTTTCAAAGTCAGTTGCTCGAACTTACGTGAAAGGAAACAATAACAAGAAATAAGTGATCGACTGTAACACATGATGCCAGCCTATAATATCTTGTAATTAGTTTGCAGTTCGTGATTCGTGCCTGATATTTCTCTTAGAGATAATAGTTATTCGCGTTATCAACTTGCGTGAAATAGTCTACCAAACAGATATGAAACTCCTGAATTGCTATTCGTTATAAGGATCTAGTAAACGATGCAACAGGAAATTGCTTTCTTCTCTATTCCACTTTCATGTTTTATCTTAGTTCTTCGTTGAAATTCGATCTAAATTAGTAACTTATCTTTTCAAATAGCGGAAAACTACAGTTTGGTTCTTACATGCTTTCTGCTGTACTATAAATTTACTACATCAGAGGTAGGTAATATAATTTCATATGGATTTTGTATCCACACATGTTGTAGTATTATGTATTTTATAAAAGTTCACTTTTTATGTTGACGTGAAGCTAAAAGTACATTTACTGAAATAATAGCCTAATAAAAAATTGGTCAGAAAAAATCCATGAGGAAGAGACCACTTTAATGAAGACTTAGATGGGAAGATAACGTAGATAGCAATAAATAGAATCCTAGGTTATAAACTGGATTCAGTTGTCTCGAGATTTGGTCCTGTGATAGACTCTTGTGTATACGGTGATGAACCTTCGGGTAATTTCTTCAGTAGTTAAGACATTTTAATCTTCTCAAGAGGCTGTAATGATCATCCTGTTACATACTCTTCGACGGCAGATGCCAGGTATGCTCTTCAGATATTGTAGTGTTTGTGAAGTGTATACAATATTTAGACATGTGTTATATATTTACATTGCCTTTGTCAATCCAGGCTTTGTGAAATTTGAGGTTCTTACGGTGGCGAGTGTGATAATGTTGTTTTGGGTTGTGAAGCCGTGTAGACTAGTGGTTAGGTACCAACGTTTCGGAAAAAACTCGCTGTCTCCATCTTTAACCCTGAAAGTGAGATAGTATGTCCGAAACGTTGGTGGTTACCTACGAGTGTACATGGCGTTAAAACTCAAAAGAACAAGGGAATTCTTTTAAGTCTGGTTCTTGATTACCATATATTGTCTGTGTCGGGGTTCAACTTGTTCTGTGTTGTGAAAAATTTATCTTTTTTTCATTTCGTGCAACTACTGGTTGACCTTGGATACCAGATTTATGTTTAAGAATGTAGGTGAACCCTAAAGGGAGAGTGACATATACACTGGAGGGCATCGAATTTGTTTCAAGGTCGAGCTTAGCTCGTCGTACTCGGCAGATGGCAGAAGACAAATAACCACCTCCGATCCAGAACAACACAAATTGTAAAGCCACTGACTAATCAGGAGATGTGTGGCTCACGATATAAGCCTGTATTCCAGCTGATAGTTCTTACAGTGGCACTAGTGTAATGTGTGTATTTGTCATCCTTCATTTGTTGCGTGAAATTCTTTAATCATATACCCTATTAGCCACACCATGCAGTTGTATTTAGATGCTGTGAAAGGTAGTTGTAGTGTGTGAAGAATTTGGCATTCAGTAGGATCCTTGAAGAATCAGTTTCATGTTCTTCTTCTTATTCGTATGAAACCTACAATAGTTTTATTCCATGCGCGTAAATGTTAAAAACCTGTACAATTATCTGGACCCACCAGTTTGTTACAGAAAAAGAAAAATGTTTGGTGTATATGAAATATTGGCAGTTTCGCAGGAGTAATTTTATGCTTCATGCTAGAAAACTATGCCCATGTGTTGTGTGGCTATGTTTATATAGACCCTACGTTTTGTTATGCGATGTACAGAGTGGACCAAAAGTGTTTGAACAAATTAAAGGTGTAATTAAAAAAGACAACTCACGGCAATAATGTGTGACTTATTTTGTTAGACTGGTAGGCACAGTAACTTCTAACTAACACAAATAATATGTGTGTGCCATTTCTGTTATTTTCTTTATTCAACGTATATTTCGTTGTTACTTTTGTTTCTTTGTACTTTATAAACATTTCCCCTTTGAATTTCTTAGGATAGTCTGTGAAAGCTGTAGGAAAATAATACTAAATTTGTAACAGAAATATCTTCATGTATTTACTCGCTTTCCATAAACTGAAGGAAACACACACACACACACATAAAGGTAATTTAATAATATATCGCTTAAAGATAATTAAGTCATTAATAAAGCAACACTTATTAACACAAGTTTCATTTTTATATATCCAAGACCTCAAAGTACACTTGTAGAAGGTTATATATACTCCTAACTAAAGTATAACCTAATATGAATTAACAAACCAACTCAATATAACAGAGCCCTCCTTCATAAGGTGTTAATCGCTCAGCTGTTAAAATTTGCCGTCTTTTATGGAACCACAAGGTTCATTATCAGATTCTCAAGGGTTTATCATTGGTCTCTATTCTGATGCCTTATTTCTTTAGATGCATTTTAATATTATCCTGTAATCTGTGCCTGGGATTAGAAGTAGTATGTTCAAATTAAAGCTAAATACAAATAGCGCAATACCAAGTTTCAACGAAATCGGTCCCGAAGTTTCGATTCCA